GGCCGGCCGGCGCCGCCAGGCCGGCCGCGCTGCGGGCCGCCGCCTGCAAGCGCGCGAAGGCGGCGTCCAGCGCCTCCGGCGCCAGCTCCCCCCGGCGCGGCTCGGCCAACAGCAGCGGCTGCACCACGAAGGCCAGGTCGTCGAGCACGGGCAGCTTCGCGTCCTGCCCCTTGGGCACGAAATCCGCCAGCCGGCGGACGCTGCCGACCTGCTCCACCGCGGCCAGATCGCGCGCCAGCGCCGCGACGTCCTGCTCCGGCGCGCTCACCACGTGGATCAGGTAGGGCGTGGTCTGGATATCCTCCGCCAGCTCGAAGAAGGTGGCGACCGACTCGAAGGCCGGGTCCTTCAGGTTGATGGGGTCGAAGTCGAACTCGCCCTGCGGCGCCGCGGCGGCGGCGCCGAGGCTGAGCCCGGCGGCCAGCGCGAGCGTCGCGGTCTGGGGCAGGCGCGGCAGCCGCCGGCCGCCCCACAGGCCCCGGCGCGGCGCGGCGACCCGGCGCAGCGGCCACAGGCCCAGCAGCGCCGGCAGCACGGTGAAGGTGGCCACCAGCGCCACGATCATGCCGCCGCCGGCGATCAGGCCCAGTTCGGCCAGGCCGCGATAGTCGGTCGGCAGGAAAGCGAAAAAGCCCGCCGCCGCGCAGACCGCCGAGAGCAGGATGCCCGGCCCCGCCCCGCCGAAGGCGGCGGCCAGCGGCCGCGGCGCGGCGGCCCGCGTCTCCTCGCGGTAGCGCAGGCAGGCATGGATGCCGAAGTCGACGCCCAGGCCGATGAACAGCACGGCGAAGGCCACGGAGATCAGGTTGAGGCTGCCGACCGTCAGGGTGGCGAAGGCGGCGGTCCAGATCAGGCCGACCAGCAGGGTCAGGACCATCGCCGCCACCAGTCGGCCCGAGCGCAGCCCGAGCCCCAGCAGCAGCGCCACCAGCAGCAAGGAGAGCAGGCCGGCGGTCGAGCCGCCCAGCTCCACCGAGGTCAGCTCCTGATGGTCCAGCACCACCGGACCGGTCAGGCGCACCTCGATGCCGCGTGCCGCGGTCAGCTCCAGGGCCTCGATCTCGCGGCGCAGCCGCTCGATCGCCGTCGCCGCCGGCTGCAGGGCGCCCTCGGCCAGCGCCGGGCGCAGGATAAGGAAGCGGCGCGAGGCGGCCAGCGATCCCGACTCGCCGGTCACCAGGCTCTGCCAGGACAGCGCGTCGGGCACGCCCACCGCCTGGGATTCGGCCACCGCGGCCATGCGCCCGAGCAGGTTGGCCAGGGCCGCGCCCGCGTCGCCCCCGGCCAGCATCTCGGGCCGGCCGGCCGCCTGCTCGAGCACCTCGGCGAGCCCGCGCAGGTCCGGACGCTCAGCCAGCAGACCCAGCAGCGGCTGCGCCGCGACCAGCCGGTCCGACAGGGCGTAGAGCTGCTCCTGATCCAGATAGAGCAGGCCGGCGCGGGCGAAGACCGCCTCGCTGCCGGGGCGATAGATCTCGCGGAACAGCGCGGGCGCCTGCGCCAGCCGGTCGGCCAGGGCGGCGGCCGCGTTGGACGCATCCTCCGGCGTCGGCGCGTCGATCACCGCCACGATGGTGTCGGAGAACTGCGGGAAGAGTGCGTCGAAGCGCGCCTCGTTCTGGCGGAAGGAGACGTCCTCGGCGATCATGTCGGCGGTGCCGGTGTCGATGCCCAGGCCCTGGACGACGTACCACAGGCACAGGGCGGTGAAGACCGCGACGACGAGCAGGGCGGGCCAAGCCCGGCGCTGCAGCGTGGCGACCCAGGTGGAAAGCCACCCCTCTCGCGGATTGACGGAATTCATCCTGGCCCCGATGTATTGGACGCGCGACGGACAGCCCGCCCCGGCCGTGCCGCCGCGCCCTGTGATCTGGAGAGTCCTCGTGCTTGCTGCCGCAAACAAAGCCTTCGCCTCGCCGGGCGTCAATCTTCGCGTCGTCCTGCGCCGTCTGACCGGCGCTCTGGCCGCCGGCGCCGCGGCGCTGCTGCTGGTCGGGGGACTGGTCGGGGGGCTGGCCGGCGCCCCGGCGCGGGCCGGCGAAACGCCCACCGCCACGGTGGAGACGGTCAACCGGGCCCTGCTGCATGTCATGCGCAACGCCGACAGCCTGGGCTTCAAGGGCCGCGAGGACTACCTGGCGCCGGTCCTGCAGGAGACCTTCGACCTGCCGGGCATGGCGCGGCTCGCCGCCGGGCGCTACTGGGCACAGTTCGACACCGAGGAAAAGCAGGCCGTGGTCGACCACTTCGTCGACCTCAGCGTCTCCACCTTCGCGGCGCGCTTCGACGGCTATTCCGGCGAGGCTTGGCGCATCGAGGGCACGACCGAGGCGCCGCGCGGCGGCACCATCGTCGAGAACCGCCTGGTCACCGGCGCCGGCGAGGTGATCCCGATCAACTACCTGATCCGCGAGGACGAGACCGGCGACTGGCGGATCATCGACGTCTACCTCGACGGCAACATCAGCGAGCTGGCCACCCGCCGCAGCGAGTTCACCTCGGTGCTCAAGAGCGGCGGCGTCGAGCGCCTGATCGCCCAGATCACCCAGCAGGTGGACCGCCTGTCCGGCGCCCCGGCGACCAGCACCAACTGAGGCCGGCTCACGTCGTCCCGGCGGCCTCGCCGGCTTCGGCCGCGGCCGCGCGCCAGGCGGTCAGCAGGTCCTCCTCCAGCACCTGCCGCCAGCTCGGCCAGGACGCCAGCACCGTCTCGCGCGCCCGCGCGCCCATGGCGGCGCGCCGCTGCGGGTCGTCGAGCAGCCCGGCGATCGCCACGGCCCAGTCCGCCGGGTCCTGCCCCGCCACCACCAGCCCGTCCTCGCCCGGCACCGCCAGGCTCTGGGACACGCCGTCGTGGGCGGCCACCAGCACCGGCAGGCCCGAGGCGCGAGCCTCGATCACCACGTTGGCCAGCACCTCGCTCTCCGAGGGAAAGACGAAGAGGTCGGCGGAAGCGTAGGCCCGCTGCACCGCCGCCTCCGGAAGCTGGCCGGCGAGCACCGCCGCGGGGCCGAGCAGCGCGCCCACCGCCGCCTGCGCCTGCCCCTCGCCGACGACCAGCACCGCCAGGCGGCGCCCGGCGTCGAGCAGGCGGCGGGCGGCCCGCGCCAAGGTGAGCACCCGCTTGGTCTCGTCGACGCGCCCGACGAAGAGCAGCACCGGCGTGTCCGGCGCGATCGCGAAGTCGCGCTGCAGCCAGGCACGGTCGCGCCGCGCCGGCGAGAAACCGGCCGTGTCGACGCCCCGGCGCAGGCGCCCCAGCCGCGCCGGCCCGACCAGCGGCGCGTAGCGGTCGATGTCCTCGCCGCGCGACACCAGCACGCGATGACAGGGCCGCAGCAGCCGCGCCACCTTGCTGGCCTCGCGCCGGGCGAAGACCGCGTCCAGGTGCAGGCGCCGCAGCAGGCTGCGCCCGGCCAGGCTGCGCCCCAGGATCTCGGCGGTGTAGTGGCGGGTGAAGCGCTCCAGGTCGGTGTGCAGCGAGGCGGTCAACGCGATGCCGTGGCGCCGGGCCACCCGCACCAGGGTGCGGCTCAGCGCGAAGGCGTGGGTGTGGTGCAGCACGTCATGGCGCGGCAGCAGGGCGGCCAGCCGCGGGTGATAGCCGGCCAGGTCGGTGTCGCCGGCGCCCTGCTCCAGAAAGGGGATCCGCTCGGTCCCCAGGCGCGGCGGCAGGGCGTGCAGGCGCACGTTGGGCGCCAGCGTCTCCACCGTCTCGCGCGCGCCCAGGACGTAGACCGTCAGGTCGAGCGCCTCGGGCAGCGCGCAGGCGGCCGCGGCGAAGCGCTCCCAGCAGCGCACGTGGCCGCCGGCCGAGGGGCCGCGGTGCAGGTCGACGGTGACGCCGACGGACAGCGGCCCGCTGCGGCTCATGGCTGCGACCGCCGGCGGTTCAGTTGGAGCGTTCGAGCACGAAGCGGGTGAGCTGGCGCAGCGTCTCGCCGCGCGGCCCGAAGGGCGCCAGCCGCTCGGCCGCCGACTCGGCCAGGCGGGCGGCCTCGGCCCGCGCGCCCTCGACGCCCAGCATGCCGACGAAGGTAGCCTTGCCCATCTCCTCGTCCTGGCCGGCCGGCTTGCCCAGGTCCTCCGCCGTCGAGGTCACGTCCAGCAGGTCGTCGACGATCTGGAAGCAGAGCCCCAGGTCCTCGGCGTAGCCGGCCAGGCGCTGCCGCGCCTCCGCCTCGGCCTGGCCGAGGATCGCGCCGGCCTGGCTGGAGAACTTGATCAGCGCGCCGGTCTTCAGCGCCTGCAGGGTCTTGATCCCCGCCAGGTCCAGGGCGTGGCGCCCCTCCGACATGTCGATCATCTGGCCGCCGACCATGCCGTCCTTGCCGCTGGCCGCCGCCAGGGCGGCGACCAGCTCGATGCGCACGGCGGCCTCCGGATGGGTCGCCGGGTCGGCCAGCACCGTGAAGGCCTCGGTCAGCAGGCCGTCACCGGCCAGGATGGCGATGGCCTCGTCGAACCGTTTGTGCGCGGTGGGACGGCCGCGGCGCAGGTCGCTGTCGTCCATCGCCGGCAGGTCGTCGTGCACTAGACTGTAGCAGTGCACCATCTCGACCGCGGCGCCGGCGCGCAGGGCCTGCGCCTGCGCGACGTCGAACAGCGCCGCGCTCTCCACCACCAGGAAGGGGCGCAGCCGCTTGCCGCCGCCCAGGCTGGCGTAGCGCATCGCCTCGATCACCGTCGCGTAGGGCGCCGCGGAAGCGGGCAGCAACGCCTCCAGTGTCGTCGTCACTTCGGCCGCGCGGGCCTCCAAGCGTTGCCGCAGACCGTCGCCCTCTGCCCCGTCCATGCTGTCCTCACTGACGTCGCGTGTCGTTCTCGCGTGCTCCGCCGAGAGTGGTGCGGGGCCGCCCGACCCCGCTCCGGCGGTGGCGGGGTTCTAGAACCTTTTGCCCGCCGAGGCCAGACGGCGATCCGCCGGGCGCGCGGCGCTCAGCCCGCCGGCGCGTTGGCCCGCTCCAGCAGCGCCGCCAGCAGCACGTTGCAGCCGGCCTCCAGGTCCTCGGGTGTCGCGTTCTCGATCTCGTTGTGGCTGATGCCGTCCTCGCAGGGCACGAAGATCATGCCCGTCGGCGCGACCTTGGCGAGGTAGACGGCATCGTGGCCGGCGCCGGAGACCATCCGGCGGCAGGCGTAGCCGCCGGCCCGGGCGCCGCGCTCGACCGCCTCGACGCAGGCCGGGTCGAAGGGCGTCGGCGGCAGGGTCCAGATCTCCGCGATCTCCAGCTCCAGGCCGGCGGCCTCGGCGATCTCCGCGAAGTCCCGGCGCAGGGCCGCGTCCATCTCGGCCAGGCGCTCGCCGTCGGGGTGGCGGAAGTCGACGGTGAACCAGACCTGGCCGGGGATGACGTTGCGCGAGTTCGGGCGGTTCAGGATCATGCCGACCGTGGCGCAGGCGTCCGGCTGGAAGTCGAAGCCGATCCGGTCGACCCGCTCGATCATGCGCGCCGCGCCGACCAGGGCGTTGCGGCGCCGGGCCATGGGCGTCGGCCCGGCATGGGCCTCCTGCCCGGTGACCGTCACCTCGTACCAGCGCTGGCCCTGGCCGCCGGTGACCACGCCGATGGTCTTGCCCTCGGCCTCCAGAATCGGGCCCTGCTCGATATGGGCCTCGAAGTAGGCGCCGATCGGGTGCCGGCCGACCGGCTCCGGCCCGAGGTAGCCGATCCGCTCCAGCTCCGCGCGCACGCTCCTGCCGTCCACGTCGCGCGTCGCCAGGCAGGTCTCCAGGTCGAATTCCCCGACGAAGGCGCCGGAACCGAAGGTGGCCGGCGGGAAGCGCGAGCCCTCCTCGTTGGTCCAGACTGCGACCTCGAGCGGCGCCTCGGTCTCGTAGCCGGCGTCGTTGAGCGTGCGCACCACCTCCAGGCCGGCGAGCACCCCGTAGACGCCGTCGAACTTGCCGCCGGTTGGCTGGCTGTCCAGATGGCTGCCGGTCACCACCGGCGGCAGCGCGTTGTTGCGTCCGGGGCGGCGCGCGAAGATGTTGCCGATGCCGTCGACGGTCACGCTGCACCCGGCCGCCTCGCACCAGCGCACGAAGAGGTCGCGGCTCTGCCGGTCCAGGTCGGTGAGCGCCAGGCGGCAGACGCCGCCCTTCTCGGTGGCGCCGATCTGCGCCATCTCCATCAGGCTGTCCCAGAGGCGCTTGCCGTCGACCCGCAGATTTCGCTCCATGGCCTTGCCGTCTCCCGTCCCGCGTGCGACCTCGGCTCTCCACGAAGCCGAGCGGCAAGTCTAGCCAGAGGCTCCGCCGCATGCCAGCAACCTGCATCCAATTCCCCGGGCATGACTCCCATGAAAGTCGTTGAAGGCAAGAAGCAGCGCGACCTGACGCCCGCGGCCTTTGCCGCGCTGGCGGCGGACTACGCGCGGGTGGCGCTCGACATCGGCACCGGCGACGGCGCCTTCGTGCTGCGCCGCGCGCGGGCCGAGCCGGAGACGCTGTGCCTGGGTCTGGACGCCGTGGCCGAGGCGATGGCCGGCAGCGCCCGCCGCGCCCGGGCCAAGCCGGCCAAGGGCGGCGCCCCCAACGCGCTCTTCCTGGTGGCGCGGGCCGAGGCGCTGCCGCCGGCGCTGCAGCGGCTGTGCGACGAGATCACGGTGAACTACCCCTGGGGCTCGCTGCTCAGGGCGGTGAGCGCGCCGCAGCCGGAGGTGCTGGCCGGCATTGCCGCCTGCGCCAAGCCGGGCGCCCGGCTGTCCCTGCTGATCAACCTGGCGCCCTTCGTCGACCCCGAGCAGCGCGCACGACTCGACCTGCCGGAGCTGGACGAGACAACGGCGCGCCAGCGCCTGATCCCCGCCTACGCCGCGGCCGGCCTGCGGATTCACAGCATCGAAACGCTGCGCGGCGATCTGCCGGAACGCACCTCCTGGGGGCGCCGCCTGGTGGTGGGCAGCGGCCGCAGCACTCTGGCGATAGAGGCGATAAAAGCTGAAAAATCAGATTGATGAAATTTATTTCTAAAGTTTTACAAGAAGATTGAAGATCTCGCGCCGCGAGCGGCCCAGGGTCTCGGCCAGCGCCTGCGCCAGGGGCTTGGTCGCGACCCCCGCCGCCTGCAGCCGCCCGGCCAGCGCCAGGAGCTGCGGGTCGAGCGCCGCCGCCGCTGCCTCGGTCTCGACCTCGGCCTGGGGCGCGGCGCCCTCGAGCAGCAGCCAGGCGGCCCCGCCGGGCGCCGGCGACTCGGCCAGCGCCGGCAGCGAGGCCTGGCGGACCGCCTCCTGCGGCCCGCCGGGATCGCGCACCAGAGTCGCCGCGCGCGCGCCCAGGGTCTTTGCCGCCAGGCCCAGCAGGCTCTCCGCCTGACCGGCCGGCAGCACCAGCAGCAGCGCGCCACCGGCGGCGGCCAGGCGCGTCAGCAGGGCGCGCCTGGCCGGCTTGCCGTCGGGCCAGGCCCGCACCTGCGCGCGCACCGGCGCCGCGAGGCCGGCCAGGGCCCAGGCGCC